AAAATTACTTAGATGGCTAAAAATCTAAAAATTACCTTTAACGTTCTATTCCTTTGAGCCATGAAATAATCAACCACTTGAGCATTGGTGACATTTTTCATTTATTTTTTCTCCACAAAACAAATAACATCATCACTCAAACTTTCTTCATTGAGGCGATTGCGCAAGCAAGTTTTGACCAGTTTTATAGCTGAACGAGGAGTGACCCTGATGCACTGCTCTTGGGCCACCCTGATGCACTGGGCCTTTTTAATATACTAGCAAAAATGCCCGTGCGTTGCAACGGGTGCATATTTCTTTCATCTGTCGTTGCTGAAAAAAAAATTTCACCTGTCAATATTTATTGTGCAATATATATATATATATATATATATATATATATATATATATATATATATACCTTGAGGATCCTTATGCACGTCAAGCAATATTGTACTTTTCTTTTACAGTTAATCATTGGATGCTACTGGATTAATCGAGAGGTAGAATATACTTGAAAAGTGAAGTTGCAAGCATAACTTGCTCCTCCTTCTATTTGATTCATATATGCACCATTTAGTTGGAGGATATGGCTTTGCTTGGAGCAGAGAGCTAAACTCAAGATAAAAACTGAAGAGAGAAGTGCATATTTCAACCCCGAACTTTTGGACTAGTCTAATTTACAACCCTGAACTCCAATACTGTCTAAACTACAACTCCCAACTCTCAAAACCGGCCAGTATTCAACCCTCCCCTCTTTGTTGACCGGTTTTGACCAGTCAACAGGTCCAGTCAGCATGCCACATCAGCAAAAAATGCAAAATTTCCAAGGAAACAACTTGTAAAATCAAAGAAAATACAGGAAAAGAAATAAGAAATCCAATTTCTGAAAAACACGGAAAATAAAAAAACGAATTTCCAAAAAAAATCCAGAAAAAACCCAAAAACTCACATTCCAGGAAAAAAATATTTCCAGAAAAAATCATTTTTTATTTTCCCTAGCTTTTTTCACGAACAATTTTTTCGGAATTTTGCTTTTTTATATTTTTTCCCTAATCTTACAGATTTTTATTTACTTTTTCTTGAAATTTTGAAAAAAAAATCTGACGTGGCATGCTGATTGGACCCGTTGACTAGTCAAAACTGGTCACCCCAGGTCAAAACCGGTCAACAGAAAGGGGAGGGTTGAATCCTGCCCGATTTTGAGACTTGGGGGTTGTAATTTAGACGGTATTAAAGTTCGGGGTTGTAAATTAAATTAGGGAAAGAGTTCAGGGTTGAAATATGCACTTCTCTCAAAACTAAATAAGAGACATAGCATCATACAACTTCCTAAAAAAATCTGCCTTTCTAGAAAAATAGCAACCGCTTGCTGTGCAAGTATCCGCAGTTCTAACTCATCTAGGGCCAAGGAAGGATACATAGCACCAGTCCCTACTCGTGAGGCGGCGCACCGGCGGCATTCTCGACTGTGGTGGTGTTTTTTGTTTTGTTTTCCGAGCAACTGTGGCGGTGTGTGAGTGCTGACTGCGGAGACACATTCCTTTATGTACGAGGACTGGGTTGGAGCGTGGAGGAGATACGAAAATCACAACAAATTGCGACAAACTGAAAGTCTGCAAGTACGTACATTATCGTCCTAGATAAATCTAGTAATGTGTAGTGTGTTGTCATGAATAAATACAAATATTTATTGAAGAACCTACCGCGAGCCTTTTTTTTTAACAGAACGTATATAAATCATGGATTTAACCAGGTGGATAAAGTCATTGTCACCATCCCAAAAGGTTAAACCACCGTTGCGTTTGGCATGGGTAGCAAGCTCGTGGGTTCCCAAGTTGCACTCACGATGAACCTTCTTATTTTGGGAGCCTTCAGACGCCCGGCTAGCAATCCTAGCTCACCTGACCATAAACATCCCACTATCTCAATCACGTTGGTAGCTCTTTCATTTAAATTCATCAGCATGGTACCACAATCGTCTCAGCCAGGACAGGCCCAGGTATATGGTGCGTATTTGGTTGAATCCCTGTAACAGTGCAGCCACTTCTGTTTCTTATGCCTCTGTGCAGTTTTCCAGACATCGCTCGCAAGATAAAAGAACCATGCGTGGACGATAATCTCTTACAATGGCCCCATTAGTTCCTTGTCCCGTTGCCGCCATAAAAGAACCATCCACGTTCAGTTTAATCAAGTTGTCACTTGGAACAATGCATGCATGTTTCAGTTTCGCCGTTGAACTCTCAGGCGGAGGGTTTACCCTGACTATAGTGGCCTTCCCTTTTTATGAGAATCATTGGGCACTTGATTCATTAAACGACGCAGCTACTGTCGTCTTCCCTTGAACGATGTCGCTCCTAATAGGCCATGCTCACCATATATGAATCAAAATTGTAGAACGGGGAAGCCATAAACTACAATAGAATCAACCTTCAGACCCGTAAATTACTAAACATTACACTTAATATAGAAAAAATAAAGTATAAAGAGTAAATAAGAAAACATAGTATTCTGTCTGGTTAGTTGTCTTCAACACATTGTCTCACTATAAGAATCCCACATTATACAGAGTGCACCCATAAATTTCCTGGTCATCTCATGCTACCAAGATAAATAAAAACAATAAACTGAACTCATCTACTCCGGTTTCAGTCCATATGTTTCGTCTGGTTAGTTGTCTTCAATACATTGTCTCACTATAAGGATCCCACATTATACAAGAGTGCACCGATAAACATTCCTGGTCATCCCATGCTACCAAGATAAAAAAAAACAATAAACTGAACTCATCTACTCCGGTTCCAGTCCATAGGTTTCTAGTATTCTCAAGATCTCTTCTAAGTACAAATTGTCATAACCGCGCCTCTAGTTTCAGTTAAACAAATGGTCCTAAAAAATTCTCAAACTGTAGGAGAACTCCATAAACACATTAGCACAAATAAGGGTTCATATCCAACCAGTTGATCAGAAGTCCATTTCAAAATAAAAAATCCAAGGTTGCAAACTGATGATGGTATGATTCTGAAAGAGAGAAAATAAATAAATCCATATCTACTTGCTCCAGTTTTAAAGTTGGAGCGCTATTATTGGCATCAGGTTTGCCTAGCTAGCATTCTGTAGCTTAAACAGAGATACGGTCGTAAGCTGAAAAACATGGAACCCAAACTATATAACTTAATCTGGTTCCCCTCCATACGTTTCAGTTCAGCCGGGTGGCTTTTCCCTTCTTTTTTTTAGAAATGGAGGAGGACCCCGGCCTGCATCTGGACGATGCATGCAGTCACTTTATTAATTATTCACAGAAGACCTTACAAAGTCATACAAAAGTAAGACTAAAGCCACCGTCTAGGCAACATCTGTCGCTGCTCTTATCCAGTTTTGAATTGAAGACCTCAATTAATTGCGAGGACTTAAAAATTAGGAAGCATAGTGTATAGTATAAAAAAATTGAATAAGAGCTTTGAGAAATTGTTGATCAAAATCGGATGACCCAATTTCAGTCGGACACCACAATTAATTGTGAGGGCTTTTACTCCTAAGTAGCGTACTGATACACTAGATTCTTGCCCAGATTTTTCAACACACTTGGGTGACTCGAGTCTCGACCACGACCAACGCATGCCGGTCACCTCATCAATCCTCGCACCAGACGCATGCCGGGCCCATCGATTTGGGCCATCACCCAACCTTTTTTCTTCTTCTTTTTTCACCCCCGAAATTTGTGTATAGTACATCGGTCCGTTAACCCGGTCAAGATCTAACTCTAACAGTAACGCCAAACTGGAGACTGCAGAGCGGCCCTAAAAAAATGGAGAGCAGAGACTGCGGCAGGGGCAAGCAGACGGCTTCGCCGCGGGCGAGGCTTAGGGTAGAAGAACCCCTCCTCCCGGTGGCGCGGCGACAGGACCTCCCTGCCCGGCAGGCCGCGGCGACGGCGAGGTAAGCTAGGGAGCCCTTGTATATATCCATGCCCCTTTGTCTCGTTCGTAGGACGTGGGCGACGATTTAAACTTACTACCAGTAGATCTGCCCCAGATTAAGCTCCCAATTTATTACTCTCTGTATGTATCCACGGCCTTGACCTTAGTTAAGCTGCATTGCCATCTCGAGCCAGTGTTAGCCAAGGGGAATTATTCTATTTACTCGATTGATGGTGCTTCCACTGACATGACAAAACGTGTCCAGTGTCCACCATGGGACCAAACCGGATGCTAAACTAGTTTATCTACTGGAATCAAATACCATCGCTAAATTCCATAAAGCACACGGTTAACCATGCCAGTGGCACAGCTTTTCAAGAGACAAAAAAATGATGCACATTTTTGCATCGTTTTCCCTATTAACCGTGTCTGCCACCACCGCTATCATTTTTAATTATTCTCATGGACCCCAAGTTGTCTACTGAGTAACTTCTAACTTCTTCTTTGAATCCATGTTTGCCAGAGGTTTTACCACTCCAGATGTATTGCTGCCCTTGATTGCATGTTATCTCTCTCTAATGTTTTGTGTAAATTGCCCGTCATGCAAGATACATAGGCGAACAATGCTTATGCCATAATAGTCATGTATGGCTGGGTGTTTTGCTTTTGTTCTAGATAATCATGTGAGCTCCAAGGAAGTCGCAGTGGACTTGCTTAGCTCAAACATTTTTTTGCTGTATTGGTTGGCTGATTAGTGGTGGGCCTCTATAGCTCAATCAGGATCCGTGGGGCCCATAAACTCAAAATATTAGTGAACTATCTTTTACATTGGTTCCGGAAACAGTTATATGCCAGAGCGTACTTGTTTGTGTAGGCCAAGTCAAAGTTTTCATCATGTTACAGTTAACAACATATATTGGATGGATCACTCTCTGCGGTGTATCTAATACTAAAACGTGATTTGATACATTCGTATTTAGGCAAATCTAAAACAAGAATTTTGGGACGGATGGAGTACTTTTTACCTAGTTTTGATTCTAAAAGGAATGTTCATTTTCTCCCGCAGGTTTCTTTGTTTGTTGTTAGTGCATCACAGGGAAAATGGTAAGCAGGGCAGGGGGCGAACCCACAAACGAGCAAGTGGTTGCAAACACTTATGCAAACATGGGCACTGAAATGAACCAGCTCTACACCAAGATCACGGAGCTGGAAATGGAAGTCAGTGAGCACTCTCTTGTGCTTGGCGCCATAGAGCCCCTGGACCCCATGAGGCGGTGCTACAGAATGATTGGTGGAGTCTTGGTTGAAAGGACCATCAAGGAAGTGCTGCCCGCGGTGCACCGGAACAAGGAGGGCCTTGAAGAGGTGGTGGCTCGCATGAAGGAGGCTCTGGAGACGAAGAAGAAAGAGATGACCGAGTTTGAGCTCAAGTACAAGATCAGGAACCGGAAGGGGGGCGAAAGCGGTGCCGAGGAAGGCAGCATGAAGGAAGCCTCTGCTCAGCGTGTTCTTGTTGGCCCTGCAGGCCAGTACAGCAGAACGACGGGACAAAAAGGAGACTTTTGCATAGTTGTTTATCAAAGGCAGATTGCTATGTACCAACCTGACTGACTGTTTCCGAGCGCGGTATTTTGTCATGCTGCACTTATGATGGTAGTCTCGAATCCTCATGTGTAAAACTAGAGATTATGCTATATGCTGGTAACTGCAGATTTTGCGCAGGTTGTGGCATGACTCGCACAGCTTTGGTCGTGTTTGTGGTTTTGTGCTTGAGAAATTTTTCATGTTTTGTTTAAGATAAATTTCATAGAAATTTTACCGCAATGAAATGTTAGGCAATATCAAATGTTTCGATCCGTTGTTTAAATAAATAAATGACAAGATCGATGATTTTTTCTAGATCAGAGTTGAACAGGACCTGATAAGACTTTCCATGTAATAAGCCGTATACCGCCAAGTGGAGGAGGATAGGCTAGCAATTGGAATGATGCAGATAAAGGTGAAGCCAAGTCATCTGAGCAGCAACAAGAGGTACTTGCATTGCTTGTTACCTTGGGAGTAGCCAGCAAGGACAACTGAAACTGCTCATGAAACGTGCAGAAGATCCTCTGCTTTCTCAACACAGAACCAAAAGAGTCCACAGATGAACTAACAGAGGCCACCGATAAACCAACAGAGATCAGTGGTAAACCTGACAAACCGTGCAAGGATAAACCTATTGATGATCTCTTCAATTGACGAGGACCTGAAACTACTGGGGAACAGGAAAAAAGTATGTTTGCTTTTTGAATTTAGTTACAGTTTAAAAATATGTGGTACAAGGTTCTCGTTTCTGTTAGAAAATACTAATCCATATAACAATCTATGCAACTGATTAGATTTAGCCACATGTGGTAAAAAAGAAATTCTTGGTGCGTCCTTAAGTAAATAAATATATTTATTTTTAAGATCAAAGCATGGAATGTATATTCGTAGCTCCTAATTAGCTGTTTTGCTGGATCCTACTTACATTTCTTGACACTGTTTTTTCCTGAACCACAACCACACGGAAGAAGGTTGAATTAGTTCAGACTTAGGGATGCTCATAACGTCCTGCCTTCCTCCACATCCTTTGCCCATATCAGTATTTCAGCCTCTTCATAACTAGTTTCAGAGGTTAACCCTAGCTTAACTATTTGTTCAATGGTACTTGATTATCTTGGTTAGTGGTTACCACATTTCTTAGTTAGGTGAAAAGTCTTGTGAGGATTCAGCTAATATGCATTTTAGGCACTATTTTTAATTAACGTGGCGCTGAGGCTGTCGATTCAAAATCAGAATCTTCCATACTGCATGACCGTTTCTTCTAGAAACAACTCCCTAATATAAGAAAATGATAAAACAGTGTTAGACCCATATATTTTTCTCATTTGCCTCACTCTTGTTTATGTACTCCCTCTGTCCCAAATTTCTTGTCTTAAATTTGTCTAGATACGGATGTATCTAATACTAAAATGTGACTTGATACATCCGTATCTAGACAAATCTAAGACAAGAATTTTGGGACGGAGGGAGTACAACTTATCTGATGAAAACCATCGTACTTCAAACAAAGGCATTTTGTAAGCGTTGATCCGGTTGCAACGGTGGCATCCTCATTCAAATGCAGAAAGGAGATGGAGACCCTGGTTCATTTGAGATTGTACATATCATGATGTCTTTGGCTGCTTCAACTCGCAAACATATGTTCAGGTTCACAATTGATGTTATTGCAATCTATCATTCCTTGTTCCCAGTAAGTCTCGTATTTCAAGATATGATTTATGTGCTCATATAGAGTGTGTAGTTATTCTCTTGCTTATAGATTTTCATCTGAATGTACTCTAGGTTTATTCTGAGGGTGTTGCCTGCTGAAGTGGAATGTTAGGCTTTATAAGAGGAAATAAAAAGAGCCACTAGTCGACTTGTTGAAAATTACTCACCAAAGAATCTCCTTCAGGACATGAGCTAAATTGTTAGTTGTTTGTTGGATGATCTGATAAAAGAATATAGCGCAAGGCACTAAGGATGAGGATTTGTGGCACCGAGGTGCTCCACCCACTGATATCCACGCCTCACATTACACTGATATCCACGCCTCACATTACTTTAGGCAGATCATGTCATTGAATGCTGAAATCATTTTACAATTCAGAGATACGCCCCGGATACATCATCTAAATACCAAGAACTAGTGGGTCCATCTTTAAATGACTCGTGTCAGTAGCTGCATTTATGAAGTGGTGTGGGGGTGCTGCAGCGAAAACCTGCTGTGAACCACGGAAGTTTTGGGGTGAGAACCAGGTTACGATTATAAATTCCACGCAGTAAATGCAGAACAGTTAGGCGTTTTGGAATTTTTAGCATTATGCATCAGACATTGACATTCAGAGACTTATTTGTGTTCCCCTAGCAATTCCTTCCATGAATTTCAGGGCAGGGGCGGAGCCAGGATTTAGGCATAGGGGGGCCAAACGGCGACGAAGCCAGCAAATATTATGACTCGCATACTGCCCAATAGTTTATACTCAAGTATCATTTGCATGAAACTTAGCTTGGACACATAAGCAGGGGCGGAGCCAGGATTTAGGCATAGGGGGGCCAAACGGCGACGAAGCCAGCAAATATTATGCCTCGCATACTGCCCAATAGTTTATACTCAAGTATCATTCGCATGAAACTTAGCTTGGACACATAAGTTTTCTTTTTGGCAGCTGGAGCGTGTGTAGTGATAGCTAATATTGGTCAATAATTCCACATACGCGCCAAAAAGACGAAGTTGATAATCAAATTACTATAAAATACGAGATGAAACGACATGCTAATAAACATTGTCATATGGAAATTTAAGATATACGAACAAAAATAATCATGTATTATCACATGGTTGGCTTTTAACTTGCATTTATATATGTTTGAATGAGAAATCATCACTGGTTGTATAGGAAATTTTATCGTTTAGTTAGCAAAAATTGATCAAGGTTGCTAGAATACATACCTAGAGAACCAAATCCGCCCCTCCTGATCCCCTTTGCCCCTTTGCTGCTAGGTCCAAGTAGATCGGCTAGTCATCATTGGCGGGCATATGCCACAACCATAATTGTTTACGGATGCTCGGCCAAGCTTTCAAACTATTGCGGGTGCCTCGGCTAGTTCGTTGGCCGTAGCATGAAGAATTGGTGGGTGAAGCGACCCGCGTCACCGTATGAATCACATCTTTAGATCAAAGACTAGAAGCAGGCTCTTTCGCAAAAAAGAAGAAGACCAGAAGCAGGCTACGAAGGCATAGGACAGTAGGGCTCAGCGCTATATGCTCGCACACGCTAGTCACAGAGATTTGTTTTTTGGACGTGTCTAGTGGGCAATCGTTTGCCCGCTAGTGCCCCCTGGCAGCCTCCCCTATTAGGCATGTTTCGGTCCCCCCTCAATACAGATTTGGAAAGTAAAGGGACGACCGTCTCCCATGTCCCCCCTTCCACCCAGCTTCTCTCCTCTCAACTGCCCCTGCGCCCATTGGCCCCTCCCTCCTTTCTTCTTCTCTCCCCACCTGTCCCCACGCCCTTCTTCTTTTCTTCTCCCACATGCAAAAGGAGGACGGGGGCAGTGAATCCACCCCATCGAAAGGACCTGCAATGGTTATGCCATTAGAGCTTAAAAATTGAACATATTGATCTACAAATCTACAGCCAAAAGAGAGAACAAGAGAGAAAAGTGTGATCTCTTCTCACCTTTGTTCATCGTGGGTGCAAACTTTTCTCCCATTGCGTTTTCCCTCATTTCTCTAATATCCTGCAATGTTTTGTACTGCGTCCTGTTGCAACAAAAACACAGGGAGAGGGGGAAAAGTGAGCAGCTATAGTGGTTTTTGTAGGGAGGAATAAAAAAATCCCGACAACTACTGGATTTGTTGTACATCCAGAGAAACCCCTCTTGTTTTCCTTAGATTTGCTTTGGAATCAGAAGTATGTTAGAATAGAAAAGCAGCAACTTGTAGGGTTTGTTTAAGCAAAAACAGTGTTGCCAGCGAGCAACTCCTATGTTCTCCAGGGTGCAAAAAAAAGTGTGAGCAACTACTTGAGCACTTTTGAGCAAAAGAAAAGTGGGTTGAAGTGAGAAAATCATGTATCCCTTGATAAACTGTAGGAAGGTCGTGAGGTTGTTTACGCAAATTCAGTGTTACCATTAAGCAAAATTTTGTAGATTTGTTGTTATGTACTTACCGGACGACACTTGTTTTTCCTTAGATTTGTTTTGGAACAAGAAGTGTGTTAGGAATAAATAAAAAAAGAAGCAACTTATAGGTGTTATTTAGGGAAAACAAGTGTTACAAGTAAGCTCATGGGTGCTAGAAAACTTTATGTCCAGAAATAAAAAGTTTGTGAGCAACTACTTGTGCACTTTTAAGCAAGAAATTGGGCTGAAGTGAGCTACTCATGTATCCCCCTAAAAAACTGTAGGCAAGTAGTGAGGTTGTTAGCAAATCCAGTGCTACCATTAAGCAAAAATTATGTAGATTTTGTTGACATGTAGTGACCTGCTGGGCTCTAAACAAGAAAACTGTAGGTAAAAGTAGTTGGTTTGTTCAAGAAAAAAAATCAGTGTTATGATTTAAAATCAAAATTTTGGTTAGATTCTTTGTCATGTACTGACATGCTGGACTCAATAAAAAGAAAACTGTAGGCAAACGTAGTTGGTTTGTTTAAACAAAAATCCAGTGTTACCCATTAAGCAAACTTTTGTTGTTTGCTGGCACACTGGCACACTGGAACTAACTATAGTCAAGTACCGGGGATCCCTTAGGCAAGTTTTAGTGAATTTGTTTTGAAAAACACCTGATTATCTGGAGCAGGGGGTGAGAAATTACCTGGAGAGTAGGTGATTGCTGGTAGAGGTTTCCTTACTTGGGCATTACTTTGATAGCTTGGAAAGGTTTTGTTTGGGGGTCCTGCGAAAAATACAAAACAAAAATCAAAATTCAAAACTTAGTAGATATATGGATGACGTGTTTGTTGGGTCTTTTTGCATACTATCATGCAAGAGAAATAAAAAGTACAAAAAATATAAACCGCTACTAGATATATGGATGTTGTGGTATATGGTTAACAGGAACTTATATATGTGTATGAAGGAAATATGCCCTAGAGGCAATAATAAAGTTACTATTTATTTCCTTATATCATGATAAATGTTTATTATTCATGCTAGAATTGTATTAA